ATTTAATAGTTATATCCATATAAAAAATTTAATAAAGTTATGATCTACATTGTACTTCACACATTTAATAGTTCTAGTCATATAATTAATTTAATAAAATTAAAGTCCACATTATATAATACACATTTAATGGTTATAATTTGAGGTCATGATATATTTATGTCATAATATCTTGATTATTTCTTTTTTCAAATAAAATATATGGGATGAGTATTATTTATTAAATTATTAAATTTAATATTAATTTAATAAAAATTTTTACTAAATAAATAATTAATATTAATTTTTTTAATAAAGAATTTTTAAAAATGTTGGATACACTCAGCTCAATCTGAGACTAATGAGCGTGGATTATGAGTTTAACTTTTTAATCTAAAATCTTAATAAATATAAAATTAAAAGAGATTCAATCAAAACTCACTGACTCGACTTATATGCGAAGTTTAACTTTTTAATCTAAAATCTTAATAAATATAAAATTCAAAAAGATTCAATAAAAGCTCACTGACTCGACTTATATGCAAAGTTTAACCTTTTAATCTAAAATCTTAATAAGTATAAAATTCAAAGAAATTCAATAAAAGCTCACTAACTCGACTTATATGCCAAGTCTAGCTGCAATAAGAGATGAAAGGTGAACTCTAACTCATCTATTAATAAACAAGTTTTATTTTGTAAGTTAAGTTTAACATCAAATTTTGAGAACATTACCCAAGCTAATTAATATTTTTAAATGCACCAAATCACTATGAATAGGGCTTTTAATGAGTTGAGTTAAGTCAAATATCTAAATACTCATGTTGCAACTCATCTTAAAAATTTAAGCTCCCTGTATTTGTTGAGTTCAAATCATGCTCAAGCCTATGAGTATTTAGGCGAATTCGAATTTACTTGTAAAACTTGAGTTAATGAGTACTTTAACTTGAATTCAAGTTTTTTTTATGTAATTTCAAAATGTTTTAACAATTAATTATTCAATCATAAATTTTTCTATATTTTTCAAAAATATTATAGTACCAAAAACTTAAACATAATAAGTCAAATAATAAAAAAATAACTATAAACTCTATTTAAATATTTTATTAATAGTT